CCACCAAGCAGCCAACCAACCAACCAACCAACCAGCCAACCAACCAACCAACCCACCAAAATCAACCAACCAACCCAACCAACCAAGCAACCAACCAACCAACCAAGCAACCAACCATCCACCCACCCACCCACCCATCCAACCAACCAACCAACCAACCAACCAACCAACAGACCAACACGCCAACCAGCCAACAAGCGCACCAGCCAACAAGCCAACCAGCCAACCAACCAACCAACCAACCAGCCAGCCAACCAACCAACCAGCCAGCCAGCCAGCCAACCAGCCAACCAACAGACCAACAGACCAACAACCCGCCAGCCAACCGACCAGCCAACCAGCTCAAACGATCCCCGGACAGCCGCCTTTCAATCGTCGCTTCCTGAGTCGAACAGCTTTTTGACGTTTTGTCTGGCCACTATCATTCCAAGTGAATATCCGAAGATGACTGAAGTCAGACGATCACCACCTTTTGCTGCGTTTGATTTAGAGGACATCCTGGTAATCTTTGGTGACAATTGGCGGGGGAATGTTCATGAACCCATTCGAGATTTTGTTTGTTTGTCCTTCTTTTTCAAGATGGTTGAACAGAACGGTGAGTCAAACCACTAGATCCATGGATCTTTTACCTGTTCACCCTTGTACGGATTCCCTGTGTTGGATACGCTGAGGATTCCCACCTCTCGGGATTGCGGCATGGTTTTCTGGAAATGCTACTGCTAAACTACTCTCAACTGTTTCTTACAAGCAGAACTCCAGCTGATATGGGTAAGCATTAGTTATTAGCTGGCGGTTTGGAGATTTGAAGCCCTGACTCTAGAGAGTAAAGGAAAATTCACCCAACCTCCACAGCACCAAACCACCAATCGAAACCACAACTGGGGAAGCTGATAGCTACGGTCCGGAATGTATCTCGCACTCGGGGGGTCCGAGCCGCTCCAGTTCTATCCAAGCAGGGGGAGTAACTTGGTCGGCGGTGGCCTTCTGCAACATGACTGCTTGCCATGGCCCTCTATATTTGGGTGCCAATTTTCGGAGAGTACCCCCTTTTTGGGGTTGCTGACCGAAACCAAATTCTCAGTTCCTCAATGTTGAAAACACACACACATCAGAATGTACATGGTCAAACTGGGGGTTACTAGAGATGGTCATGGACTTTTTGGACTTGCCATTTGAAACATAGGGGCTAATTGTCAGGGATGCCATGGTTGCCAGGACCTTCCAAAGAGGAGGCGGTATTAGTCGCTGGCCCCAAGGCAGCTTCGGGGGGCCGCAAAATCATGTGGGGGCCCTTGGCAACCATGTCAACACCCTTCTCATATGGCTATATATGGCTTGGCGGGGGATACCTTTCCAAATGGTTGGGCGTAAATCCCACCTGAATGGGTCCAGAACAAGTGGTCCCCAGATGGACATCATACCCATCTCATTTTTTAGCGGGCCTTGTCCACTTGCCTGTCCCGGCCCGCGCTGAAAACTGAGGTGTGGGCTGCTTCTCAAACCCCTCGGTGCTCTTTGACTGCAACGCCGGCTGGCAGAAGTGGCAGACTGGATGGTCGGAGCACAAGAAGGTGGGGAAAGACTCGCTGGTTCGATAGGGAATGAGAATTGGAATGAACCCAAGAAAGCCCATCCCCGATTTGGTGTCCTGGGGAGACCCTTTCCGGTTCATTCCCAAAACCCGGACTCGTTGTCATTCCCTACCTGAGCACCAGCAAGAGGGCCACAAGCGATCCATGGAGCCGCACAGGTCCTCGGACACCAATTTTTCGAATTCAAGGGCTCCCTTCCATGTCGGAGGTGTGTTGAAAAGTATGGCCTAAGAAAGGTGCTGCGAACTATGAGCCATGAGATGCCATGAGGAATCGTTGTACGTTGGTTGGCTGGTTCTGGGTCCGGGGGTCATGGCATGTTACAATGTTGGTTGGTGGAATTTCTAGGTTTGGGGGGATACTTACCAAGCAAAAGGTGCTGGGGATGAAACAACAATGAGGCATCCACGACACTTGGTGAGTCAAAGAAACCGCAGCGGACATCGATTGCAGAACGGCTGGGCATCCCCCCTGAAGCGATATGGCCAGGCGTGGTGCTGCTTTCACCTGGGCAGAGGCGCAGCTTTTCGCGAGGAGCTACCCCTTGGGTGTGTGTCTTTTGGGGCCCCTTTTTTTCTCTCCGAGATAAATGCAAGTTTGGGGGTCCATTTTTTTGTGAGACACCCATTTGGAGAGATTTCGGGTTCCTGGCCAATGTGTGGAGGGTCTTTGCGAGGCTGTTCTGCGCAGAATCACTTCCACCCCAGCGACTGGCAAGCGCATCAGCATATCCACTACGAGGGTGCCGAGCACCACTTTGACCACGTGCACATCGCGGACCCCACGCATTGGCACGACCATCCGGATGCCGCCTTCGGGGATGTTAGCTCCGTGCACTGGCATGACCACCCGGAAGAGGTGTGGCACCATGCAGGGACCTGGCATACCCATGGCTACGTGCCATATGCCGACCACGTCCACCATGTCCATGTCTATGATACGCATCCGGACCACATCCACTACGAGCATGTGCACGTCGTGGACGATTTGGCCCAGTCGTACGACTGCCAAGCAGGCCTCGCCAACTGGAAGGCCCTTTGGCAGCAGTTCGCTCGCTACGAACAAACTCCAGCTGTGCATCCCAGGCTGGCTGGTCTTCCGGCAAAAGGACGTGGCCGGCACCCTAGCTCGGGCTGTGGCGAGCGGACTGGGCCAATGGTCATGCTCAGCCCGCCCAAAAAAATACTATTCGTTTCCCGATCCTTTGGAGAGGTGCTTGAAGCAAACGCAGCCATGGGGCCACACGTCTCTCAAGAGCTTGCCCTTCAGTTTGTTACCTGAGGTTGTGTGGGCTCGCCTTTCTGGAGTGTGTGCTTGGTCTGCGTACTGACCATGTAGAAACCAACTCGATGCTACTTCAGATGTTACAGGAAGTTCGCAAAGTTGTATCCACTTGGCCAACTTCCTGAAAGATATCTGGTTTTCGAGCAAACACCAGGTTGTTAGTACCTCCTGTGGATGGCATTCCGGGGGGTTATACATCGTTTGGTACCCCTTGGGCCCCTTAGAGTCTGTAATGTCCCCCCGATATTCATCAACCCCAGTAATAGGGGAGTGGGCAATCAGGCCACTTCTGGAGGGGTCCCCACCTCTCTATTTCCGTACTGGGGTTGATGAATTTGGGAACAACAGTACCGCTCGGGACACTTTGGGAGCCGTGGCGTTCGTCGCGAGGTGCTGCTCTCACGAGGGCAAGGGCTGCGATCCCAACGCCTTCGACTGCTCCGCCGGGCTCAGCAATTGGCACCACGGCTGGTCCAACAGCAAGAAGACCTGGCCCGGGACCCAGGCGAAAGCGACGGACCAATTTGCATTTTACCCTAAGTGGGAAGAAGAAGAACAGTAAAAGGGAGGAGAACGGAGAAAAGAGAAGACGAGCAAGCAGAGAAGAGATACCTAAAGGCGATTCGTCGCTCATGTTGCATGGGAGGGGTTCGATGCTATGACCTTCGGAGGGCGAAGCTCTGTCCGGCTTGCTTGGATTCCTTGGATGGCTGATCAACGTGGCATCTATTCGGCGTGGGATGCGAAATTCAGGATCAGCATTGCATTCCAGTGTTTGGAAACGGGGCTTCCCATGCTCTCGCGCAGCCGTGGCAAGGTGCTGCGCCAACGAGAACAAGGGATGCGCGTGAGTGGTGGCCAAGGGACGCCAAGAAACGCCTGAAGAGCGGGCAAGGCCGTTTCCCTTAGGGCTCGGTTGTTTTCACCCGCGCCGCCTCAGTTTGGGCGGAGTTGCCAGCTGGACCCGGCAATGCAATCGGCAGAGGCTTGTTAGAACCCCAAAAATCAGGTTTGTGATGGTCCAAACCTCACATTTCAACTGCTAGCGACAAATGCGCGGGCAGCGAAACTGGTTCATCCACACCCTTCGTGCTCTCGGCTTGGTATTCGTATCGAAGCTTGGTGGGGTAAACAGGCCTCAGTGTTTGCAGGCAAGCGTTTGGCCTTTGCGAAACCGCGAGGGCCGACAGGGCTTTCGAAGCGATGGCTAGACAGTACGAGATGGGTTCTCCACAAAGATTCGGCCGGAGACATTTGTTTAGAAACAAGCAGCACGTAGATGATTATGGGGATGCAGGTGCGATTCGCGGGGTTCATCAGCTCATCCATGCCTCGAAAACCTGACATGCTGTCAGCAATCTGGGAGCCCAGTTGCAACAAGCCATTCCTTTTTGTTTCTGATCCTGGGCTCCTGACTGCAAATTCGCGACTGTGTGTAGGATGGCTGATGCTTGCTCCAATGTGTGCAGCTGGGAAAGAGCAGCTCGCAAGGCATGCTCCCGTGCGCTGGTCTTTTCCGCAGTGGCATCCCGCCTTGCCACTTTGCAGGAATTCAGCGCAAGCAACGGGCAAGTCTCCCACATACCCCAGAGCACAGATCGCCCGAAGCCTCACAGATCGCCTTGCCGTGGGCAAGTCAGCAAGCCGCAGATTTCCTACACTGTACACCCAAGAGAAGCTTTGATGGGCGCGAGCTGGCCGCCGTTCTGCGCCAGGCGGGGAGTGGTAAGTTTGGTTTCTCCCATCGGTTTTTCCATGTCAATGTGAGCCACGCTGCTTGCCTCGGTTTTTTCCATGTCAATGCCCTCAGCTGAACTTGATTGAGGTGGGCCATACGCCATCGGTGGCAGTTAGCCCTAATTGGCTGTTTTCCACCTTGCGCTAAGAGGCTATTTTCCACGTTGCGCTAAGAGCAGCTGCCTTTTTTTTTCGAGGGGGGGGGGGGTTGGGGGGGGAAACTGCGGCCGTTCCTAGCTAGGCGGCCAATTTGCTGCTTGGTTGCACGTTGCCCCGAGGAGCAGTCGCAGTTTTCTGGGACAACCCAGCGGATCGCCACGGCCGATCCAGGTTTTGAGACACATTCCCAGGAGTGCCTCTCCTGGAATTGCCAGGTGAACTTGGCGCATGCGGCACAGCGGCATCGGGGACTTCATTGATACGGCCTCCTGCGCAGTCGGCAGCCCAGAGACGACCAAGGGGGTCGAATCATGACTGAGACAAGTGGGTTGCTCGCTTGTGTTCGAGGCTTGGTGCTTCTTTTCGGGTTGGGGGGTTGTAAGAAGAACCCATTGGAAAGCTGAAGCCATTTTGGGGCCCCCTGATGAACGCACCTGTTTCACCCTGTTCCCAGGTTTCACTGCATTTAGTGTCTAGCAACTCCTCCTTGGATGGTTCTCTGAAAGGAAGCCAAAGGAGCACTGCCTTTGGCAGACGACCCGATCCCAGTTCCGTGCAGGTTTGTCACAGGCCGACTCTAATAGGAGGTCCGGATTGATAACCCTGGTGAAGCTTTTTCGAGGGCTGTTCCCTTGTGGCGGGAACCCCTCACTTTTGGAGGACCTATTAATGAAAGGGTGATTTATACGGCCGACATGGGCCAGTGCGCCAAGCCCATGCACATTGAGATGCTCACAATGTGAGTATACGTGCTCCAGGGAAGCCAAACGATGGCTCCATTGCTCATTTGTGCTATGCTTAGTCAGGTTCTGACTGAAACCCAGGAGGTACCATTCTGAGACACGAGGAAGCCACTCTCCGCCCCCCTCAGGCCTAGCTTTCTCGAAGGGCTTGCGACGGGGCAATGGGTTCGACCAGAGCTCGATATTTTGCATGTGACCCAAACCTCATGGCTAAAAATCCTTGCTCTCGGCAGAATGGTGGATTCTTGTGGTGTTAAACCCCCACTCCAAGTGAAAGCTCCCCATCGATGACCATGAGATTCCACGTCCCCCCCAAAAGCGGGGTCCCGTTTTTTTTTTTTCCCCTCTCCGAAGTCGCGGGGCAGCTTTAGATCAGCTCCCAGGTTTTCTTGGAGCATCGGCGCTGTCCAAGACACTGCGGTCAGCTCCTAGTGGGCAAGGCGCGGGCAGGCGAAGAGTTTGTTCTTCCAAGCCGGGAAGGGCTTCGGCTCAGCTTAGAACTTTAGGGACACACCGAATGACATGCATGCAGTATTGCCGTGAGTTTGCCCTGGACTGGGCAAGAGTTTCTTGCTTGCGGGGGGGTTTAGGGTTAAGCATTCCTTAGCCAACTAGTAGTTGGGCTTGCCTTGATGCCCAAGGAGGGTAGAGGGAAGCTTCTCCAGGATGCAGCTCGCCACCTCTCGCAGGAATGCCCCAACCGCAGCTTGGACGATTTAAGTTGCGGTGGCGAATCTTCCCATGGCACCTGCCCAAGGCCAAGTTTGGGGAAATGGGTCTGAGTTTTCTCGTTTGATCCCGGAATTCCACTCTTCAAAGACCTACTAGTGGCTATTGGCCGCTGTTAGCTGCTATTAGTATGGGGGGTCCCCTTTTGGGGGAGGGAAGTGTCAAAGTTCGCCGTGTGGACCAAGGAGTCCATTTACCACAGCCGGTAAATGAGGCGAGCCACCGCTTTTGGTCCTGCAAAAAGCGGCAGCTGATGACAATGGCAAACTAACATACCCTACCCTCAGCAAGGAACATGAACGTGAGTCTCCCAAAATGGGCAGCCAGTCCTTTTGGACGGGTTTTTGTGGGCTTCCATTTTCCATGCGAGAGGGTAGCAAACCAGGCGAGTGACCGGGAGAGATTCCACATCATCGGGCGGGCAAACCCCAGGTTGACTTGTCTAGGCTTGGCATTAGCTGGACACGCAAACCATCACATTCTGAGTTTGCGTGCTTTTGGGGGCTGCCCCTTTAAAGGGTTTACATGAACCGGCAGCCGCCCAGTTGGTGGGACCCCATTTTGTGGCACCTAACAGCAACCCCAGGTTAACGAGCCCCTGGTTGATGAGTATGGGATGTTCGCAGTCTAAATGGGGGGGAGGGTTTCTAACTTCTTGAAGGAGCACCCCCTATCTACAGGACAGGTTTATTTGTCCGGGAACCAAAAGGGGGATAGTTTCCTGTTGTTCTGGTTTTGAGCAATCACCAGCGGGTACCCTCAAAGCGCACACCCATTTTGACATGGCTGTGGGTCAAAAGTACCCCAAATGGTTTGCCCTGGTAACTTGTGACACCTGCAGTCCAACCTGGTTTGATTTTGGCCCATGCCGTCACACACCCTTGGCTAATGTCGACCCTGGATGAATATTCCCCTTCAAACCAACCAAAAAGGGGGTACCAACTCAAAGACGAGCCACATGGCCGGTAGGTGAAGAGATCTGCCCCGCCGGGTGCGGAGATCGGCTCTTGGGCTACGAAATCGATGGCGCGGGGAGGGTACGGGGACAGTACTCGCCGGCCGAGCCGTTTCGGATGAAGTGAGTTTGAATCGGTCGGTGGGCATGGCGTAAATGATACAATAATATATATATATATATATATATTTATATATGTATAATATACATATATTTATATCTACACTGCATATTCCAATATATTTCCAACGACTCTCCAAGGACAAGTCATACTGTGTCAAATTGTTCCGGTTTGCTGGTGTGAACGTCTCTTTGGGACCAGTTTCCTTTGGCTGGGGCGATGCTTATCTTTAGCAAGGCACCCTGCGTTTGCGTGTCGCTGGCCGCATTGGCAGAGGGGGCAGGCGGATGCGTACTACTGCACAAAAGTCCCAACAGTTCTTGGGTAGCCAGTGTTGGGAGCATCATCCATTTGTTTCCAGGCGGGTTGGGTGCCTCTCCGAATTCCTTTTCAAGTGCCAAGAGGGTGCTGAAAGAGATTGACACCTGGTGAAATCCCCCCGAGGCTATCCAACCCCCCCCCAAAAAAACAAACAAACATAGAACCTGTGCACAGAGGTTCCCACTCAAAAGGACCATTGACCTTCCAGAACAGCTGTGCACGTTCTATGTTGTTTTTGTGTCGGTGATTGTTCTCCCCATGTCGTCATCTTTGTGCTGTGTGTATCTGCCTTAAACCGAACATCGCATGGCTTTTGGCAACTGCCTGGATCGACGATCCGCCCGCTTCAAGTATTTCACCTCGACACACGTCCACCGAGTGAAAGGCTGCAAAGGGACACGATTAGAAGCCGTGGTATCTAGGATATGGAGGTTGCAGAGCGTGCCTATGATCATGCCTGACATTCTGCTCATGTTCGCGGCTCGATTTGCTTGCATTAGTGGAGCTAGGTATTTGGTGCGAACCCAGTGGAATTCAGATTGGGATGGTAACTTGGAAAACCTTCTGGCGCCTTGGTTTTCAAAGGGTGGTTCACGCGGTTACCCGCTGCACAGGTAGATGAAACCACTGGGCAGGATAAATGATGCAAACCCCAAAGCCCCAAAAACGCAACAACACTAACATAACCCCCCCCCCCAAACCCGAAAAAAACCAAAAAAATACAAGAGCAAAGAAGCACAACAGCACTACCCCAACACCTGAGTACCTCAGACCCCAAAACCACCCCCCGTGCCCGCACGCGGTTCTGGCGTTCGCTTCGCGCAGACCCGGAGCAGCACCCCACCGTGTGCCCCATGAAGCGGGCGATGGCCAGGGACCCTGCAACCATGCCACGTGGTTTGGTCCACGTGGGGACCCATCCCCTCGTTTGGTCAAGGGGAAGGGCAAATAAAGAATCCGAGATCCATGTTGGGGTCCGAAACTGTATTTTGACATTAAGGGAACTTACGATGGAAAGTGGGTTAAAGCTAGGACAAGTAGCTCAACCAACCACTTGCCAAGCATGCTGCCCCTTTGAGTGAGTTTTGTTACACGAAACCTAATTCACACTTAGGACGCCGTGGAATCAGCCATCCAAGCCTCCGCGGTCAAGGCGGGGGCTAGGGGTGGATTTGCACAAACCAGGTGCTTGAGGCGTGGATTTGTGTTTTGTGTGCGTTTTTGTGTATGTTTGTGTGTGTGTGTACGCTGATGTCAGGACTATCGCCTGGCGATGGAGGCAGTCTACGCAGAGCGTGGGGCGCTTGGTCAGCCCCCCGCCCGCCGCCCCAAGAATGGTTGATTCACCAAAAGGCGTCCAATTAAGTTCCGTATGTGTACCTGTGGCCCGGTTTGATCCTGCTTCGTTGTAGGCTTTACCCGCTGCGGGCGCAGCCTGCTTCACCTTTTCTATCAGTTTCAGCGTGTTACCCGGTTTTTCTTGGCTTCGGCCCATTTATTCCAGCCACTTAGGGAATCGGCCGTTTGGTACAACGGCATAATCCCGCTTTGCGGACGCCAAGCTGGGACGCAAAGACATGCAAACGGTCGGTTCAACACCCTGTAGTGAGAGGATACGGCACTCAATTTTTAGGGTCAAACAGGTTCGAGGGTGCAGCGATTATTAAATTGGTACCACAGCGGCGGCGACGACTGCTACTACTACTGCCATACCCCGCTACTACAACCACTATACCCCACTACTACCACTACCACTCTACAATCGCAACCACCAGCACCACCACCACGACTACTGCTGCTGCTGCTGCTGAGCAGCAGGCTGGACACATGCGGCGTGATTCGATGAAGCTGTGCTTCAACCGCATCCAAGGCGACCACGCGAGGGCTCGCATCAAGGCCCGTGGTGAAAGGGTCCGGAGCCCAAGGCCAGGACATGGTGTGTGGTTTTTGAGGGTACCCGTTTGAGGGCTCGTTTGAAGGCAGCCCTATGTTTGTGGTCCCCAAATTTTGACTGACGCACATGAGTCTGTCTCAAGGGTTTGCCTCAATTTGGGGGAGCCGCCAAAATGACTGGTGTCCATTTGGTTTCGCAGTAGACCAGCTCGAATCGGAATCCCTCAAACAAAGACACATCTAAATGGTGAACCCTGTTTGGCGTTGAAGGGAAGCCAAAAGCCAGCCGCCTATACTAACCTTGCTTTTGCTTGTAGCTCAATTGGGCTCCGCTTGCGACCAATTGGGGCCAGCAGAATCCTTGTCAAGTCCCAAGGCAGCTGTGGAGCAGGCATTCGAAGAACGAAGGGACCTCTACAACGCCAATCAGCACCAAACACCTTCAAATTCCCCGGAAACCCCCTCGCAGCAACGTCAGCAGAACCTTGTGCAGCAACCCCTCGCCCGCACCTTCCTGAAAAAGCACCTTGACTTGCAGCTGCCAACATTGCCCGAGAGGAGCTCTCTAGTTCGGACACCTTCCAAGTTGGGCAGGAGTTTCTTTTTCGACGTCGGGATGCGTGGGGTTTGCAGACTCTGAGGACCCGGGTCCCGTGTTCTCCACCCCGGGCTGCACCAAGCGGCTGAGAGGCCAGGGCAACCGAGAGGGATGTCGGGGGATGGGCACATCCCAGATGATGCCTATAAGACTCGTGCTGACAAATCGTTGGCCCACATTGACATACTTGGGGCCGGCAGATCAGGGGCAGAGTTGCCTAACCGGATTTTAATCGGGAACTTGAAGGAGGTTGTTCAAAGAAGAGGCGCGTAAACATGTATGAACAGGGGGCCTGCCCAGGTAGGGTTTCGTTTGCCTCTCCACTGTGACACTTTGTTGAGTAAAGCAGATGCACCAGACCCACATGGCCAACTGGGTCCTTGAGTTTTTGGGGGTTGACATCGTGACTAGCCGGCACCGAATGCCGAGAAACAGCCTGGGCGGAGGCGCTCCTGCGAGTGGGTTCCGCCATTGACACCCAACTCATCGGCAGGTGGTGCTTTTTCGATTTGTGCCCGGGACCTCCCCAAACTGGCTTCGGCTTTCCTCTTGGCTTCCCTGCAAAACCGCCAAGAAGGGGTCCCAACTCAACATGAGCCAAATGGGTTGGACCTCGGGATCCGAGGTCTCAATGAGGAGGGCTTGAACCTGCTGTCGCGGGCCAGGCGTCATTCCAAGGCACATGGGGCTGGCGGTTGTGATTTGTTTTGGCCCTGGCTGCGCAAATTGGTGGGTTGTTTGCTAGGGACCCTGTTTGGTGTCATTTTGAAGGGAATCCCAAGACAATCTAAATGGACACATTTCGGAAACTACTCATGCTGAGGGTTCCCAGAGTCTTGAGACAAGCCAAATCCAGGGTTCCCAAATGTTTCAAACAAAATATGGGAGCGTTGTCTCCACGAGGAGAGGCTGACTTGGGTGATCGGCGTGGCCTCGCTGGGGCCAGCGCTGGCCTGAGTCGTTCCAGGGATCGACACTTTTCACCAAAAGCATGGTCAATATTGAATGCGATTTGATCGTGTCATTCCTTTAAATTGCCCAAACCACATTTCCAATCAAGGTTGCTTCAACACTTTTTTGGTGGCACAAGCCCCCAGGTATTCCTGACCAAAGGGTCCCCCCAGCACCCCCAGAGCCGCACCCCAGCCGAAAAGAAGTCGGCTCAGGGCGACGGCACGGCGGCCTCGGAGGTGCCCGGGGCCCGGAATCGGATCAGCGGATGGGTCGGATGGGCCCAATGACGCCGCGCCGCGCCCGTGGGGAAACGGGGCAAAGGGACCCGTCTTTGTTGTTTGTATGGTTTTTGCTTGTATTGTATTATTATCTTTTGTCAGGGGGGGTCAGCGGAAAAGGGGGGTAGCGGTTTAAGTAAACCAAGTTTGTCCGCGGGAGCCAAGCGAGACACGGGCTTCAACCAGGTGGTTCAATCACTGTCGCCTTCCCCCAGATATATGTTTCTGTTGTCCCCTGCATCAAAGTGGGGAAGCGCTCACCCTCCGGCAGATCAACATGAAACCTATTAGAAGCATCACCTTTCGGGAGGAATCTAGGTTTGGGTTTGCGCGCACCTTTTGAGTTCCGTCCCTCTGCACCATCTTTATCTGAAGTGCTACGGCCCCAACCTGAGTATATTTCTTAGTTTCCAATCCAGCACCCTCCAAGGGTGGTCCATTTGCACCTGAAGTGCCCTTGAAGCATTTTGGGTACCAATTGACAACCCTTGGTCGTCGCTGAACTCAACAAGTAAGCTCCTAGAACCCTCCAAGCGGCTAGTTTCCTATTTCAGTTTCCCTTTCAACCAACCCCATGGGTGCCAACTCTGAAAAAGTCCAAGAAATGACAAGCCCCCCACACCCAGGCCTTCTCCGCTTGGTTTCTACCTTCAAAACCCAGCAAACGAGGCCCCCCGGAGCGGCCCGGTACTGGGACACCATGGAGACCAGCAAGGAGCAGTTGAGCAGTTGAGGGGCTCACCGAGTTACGCGCCAGGCTTTCGCCCTTCGCGGGTGAAGCATGGCTCTCAACATCGGATGTGGTTTTATCGTTTCACCCTTCGAATCGCACCTTGGCTTCAACCTTCGAATCGCACTGAAGGGTCACCCCCGATCTGATCCCCACACTCCCACACCTTGTCCTGGAGGTCTGGTTTTGAACACGGTTTTGGCCAAGCGGAGTTTCCTATTGGTGATGTCCAAAGGGTGATATGGGGTCTGGACGGGTTCATGACTGCCTTTGGGGCTAAAAAAGCGCCCAGAATTTCAGGGTTCCCACATTCCCCTTGTTGGAACCTCCAAAAGTCGCGATCGTTTAGCTGCAACTTTGGGGGACATCCAGTGACCCCACCAAATTATGGCTGCAAAGTAGGAAATAGAGAAAAGCATGGAACACCCCCTATGGCCTTCTGGGTTTCCTTTTGGTTCCCCTTTCGCCAACAAGGGGCCCCACATGGGCACCCAACAAACCCACGGCCGCCTCGCTTTAAAACTCCGCCCGGCGGCCAGGAGTTTTCCCGGTCCGCGCGGCCCTGGGACTTTTCCGCGCGCCGCGCTCGAAATGGGGAGAGTTGGAGTGAGAAGTGGGCCGGTGTTTGTGTTGTGTCTGTTTTTGTTGTGTTTTTGTTTTGCTGTTTTTTCTTTTTGCTCTTGTGTTGTTGGCATGTTCCTTTTGTCCTTTTTTGTTTTTTAGTTCCGGTGGTTTTTGATGGCTGGTGGGCGTAGTTGCAGGCGGGCGTTGTTTGTGCTTTGTTCACCGGTTGCGTTTGGCAACCGAGGGTCGGCTCAGTGAGGTCCATGAGATGAGGACCATCCCCAAAGCGGAGCCCTGGATGTTTTTGATTTTTGTTTCAGGGGAAACCAGGAGGATACCCTCCCCAGGCGATTCCATAAGGCTTTGCAAGTCAGGGTGCTTTCTTGAGGCTACCCTTAATTGTTGGTGTGGATTTGCGATTTGATTTGAAGCCCTGGTTCTTGTAGAGGGTATTTGGAATCCACCCCCCAAACTCCAAACCACCCTTCGAAACCATGAATTCGGGGGAAGCTAATGGGACGGCGTAGAGGGAACTCATTGAACCTTGCCACCAAGGAAGCACCTTCCCGCAATATGGGTTTGTCTAGAAATTGGGAACCTTCAACACGGCTGGTTTGCCTTTGGTTTCCGCCAAAGCCCCCAAAAACATGACATGCCTTGGCATTTCCCCCCAAGCAAGGCGGCTTTCATGACTGAGATGCTAATTCAAGCCCAGGCCTATCTTGACCCCTCTGCTGCAAATCCTGGAGGATGCCCGGATTTGCGGTCCGGAGCTGAAAACGAAAAAAGCGCGCCAAGTCAATACGACCACTTTCTGCCGTTGTGGCTCCGAATTGATTGATCCAGGAAAGGGTCTGGGCTCGGCCATTTCCGCTGAATGGGCACCCCGCATTAATAAACCCAATGTGCAACCAGGCGCCTCCGCAAGCCAAAAAGGGGTCAAAGTTCTCGACCCCGTGGATCCAGCAGGTTTTCACTGATGTGGGTGAAGGTAACATTGCGACACCCCGGTTTTGATCCTTGGGCTTATTGTTCCGACAGCACGCCCGGCATGACGCATGAGCCCGGCTGGCTTTGAACCCGCTAGGTGCAGACTCAAAGCTGCGGCGGAAAGCGGAGGCCGCGCATTGGGTTCCCGTGGCCCCTCGTCTCCGAGCCGAGACCGGTGGGCGAGATGGCTTGTCGCATTGGGGATATCTTAATTTAATGGCTGCTCCAGGATTGGCCCAAGGTAACGAGCATAGCTCTGCAGGTTGAATAGGCTTCCTGTGCCACGTAAGCAAGACACGAATCGTGCCCAGTGTTTTTTTTGGTTGTGAATAGAAAAAAAGGCCCAGACTCAAACCAGTGGAGCCCATCGACCTGCTTATTTTACAGAGCTCGCCTACGAAAGACGAGAGCGAACGATAGAATGTAGGGTTCTTTACTTGGATCTCTCGTGTCAGGTTTTGGAATTAGTGCATGCAGATTGGTTTTCAGCCAAACTTGACTCGAAGGTCCAATTTGGTCATGCCCGGCAGGGGTTGCTCTACATGGCAGTGCGAAGATGCATCGAGGCGCCCGGGCGCGCAAGCGGTATGACTTGGTTGTCGCGAAGCAGCTGTTGCATGGATGGGCAAAATCCGCTTTGCGCCGTTTGGTGGCTTCTCCGAGTCTTCACAGGGTTTCGTTTTATCCATGCCCGCTGCTGGATGGGATGACCATCAAAAAAACTTTTTTGGCAATCAACAAAAAACTTTCAGCCATCAACAAAAAACTTTTTTAGCAATCAAAAATAAACTTCCCACAATCTCACTCTGCTGCTTGTATATTCTGTTCTTTTGGTTGGCATTTGATTTTCTGGTTCCTTGAACACCCCTGGTCCCGTGGTCCTTTGGTCCCTTGGTCCTTTGGTCCCTTGGTCCTTTGGTCCCTTGGTCCTCTGGTCCCTTGGTCCTTTGGTCACCTTGGTCCCTTGGTCCTCCACTTTCCTGGTCCTTGCTCCTCTGGTCCCTTGGTGCCTGGTCTTGGTCTCCTGGTCCCTTGGTCCCGGTCCTGGAGCCCTTGATCCTCTGGTCCCTCGCTCCTTTGGTTATCTTTGGCCTCTGCTCTGTTGGTCTTGGTCCCTTCATCCTTGCATTTCTGGTCCTCTGGTCCTCTGGTCCCTTGGTCCCTTGGTCCTTTGGTCTCTTGATCCTTTGGTCTTTTGAGTTCCTCTCTGTTTGGCTTTTGCAGCTTTTTGTTGGGTTTATGCAGCTTTTGCGGCTTTGGCTTTTCGCATCCTCTGCATTACCAGTTTCTCTCAGGTGGCTTTTTGGCTTTGTGGCTTTTGGCGGCTTTCTGGCTTTGGCTTTTTGCATCCTCTGCTTTCCCAGTTGGTTTTTGGCCGTGGCTTCCTGCATCCTCAGTTCCTCTTGCCCCCCTTTCAATTGAAATGCCACCCCTATTCAAATCATCACTTTTTTCGATCATCATGGGGGGGCCAACCCCCACTACTATGTAGATTTTTTGCCCCTCATTGAATCATCACTTTTTCGATCGTCCCCCGCCCTAATTGAATCATCACTTTCTGGATCATCATGGGGGGGCTGCCGCCCCCCAACCCCCCCCGCTACTTTTAGATGTTTGGCCACAACTTGAATGATCACTTTTTCGATCATCGTGGGGGGGGGCGGCCCCCCCCCCCCAACCCCCCCGCTACTTTTTAGATTTTTTGCCCCCTCGCTGGTTTTTAGATGTCTTGCCCCTAATTGAATCATCAGTTTTTCGATCATCTGGGCGGGGGCTGCCGCCCCCCCCCCAACCCCCGCCCCCCCGCTACTTTTTACATTTTTTACCCCTAATTGAATAGTCACTTGTTCGATCACCATTGGGGGGCTGCCCTTTTCCCCGCTACTTCTCAGAATTTTTGCCCTAGTTGAATCATTATTTTCTTGATCATCGAGCTGCCACCCCCCCCCCAAACCCCCCCTCTACTTTTACATTTGTGGTCATGCGGTAGCCCCCCCCCCCCAACTTCCCCGCCACTTCAAGATGTTTTGCCCCTAATTGAATCATCACTTTCTGGATCATCATTGGGGGGGCTGCCGCCCCCCCAACCCCCCCGCTATTTTTAGATGTTTGGCCACAATTTGAATGCTCACTTTTTCGATCATCGTGGGGGGGGCTGCCGCCCCCCCCAACCCCCCCGCTACTTTTTAGATTGTTTGCCCCCTCGCTGGTTTTTAGATTTCTTGCCCCCTAATTGAATCATCAGTTTTTGGATCATCATGGGGAGGGGGCTGCCGCCCCCCCCAACCCCCCGCTACTGATCCAGAAAGTGATGATTCAATTAGGGGCAAAAAGTCGAAAAGTGCGGGGGAAGTTGGGCGGGGGGCTGCCGCATGACGATCGAATGATTGAATTAGGGGCAAAAAATCTAAGGGGAAGTTTTAGATTTTTGCCTTCTCGCT